TTGTCTGCCCTTCCTTTTTTTTTATATATTATTTGATTTCAAGTTAAGTGTTGATCAATATAAATAATATACCTTTGCCTAATGCCTATTTGTTGTTTGAAATAAATTTCGAGATATGCAGAGAGAAAGATAGAGATCCATTTTACTGCCTCTACTATAATGCCAACTGTTACTTCAGCGCTCTGACTTCTTTCCAAAAGCTTTAATATACTTCTATAGTGTAAGGTTTACAAACAATTTCCAAACTTTACGAGGAAAATCAATTAGACAAATCTGCATGAAGAGTATCTTCATCTACATTCAAACAAAAATTCATGATGTATTGTTCCTCTGAAATATAATCTTTTGATATCGCTTTTGATAGTGATGAAAAATTCGTAACTATTTCATCGTCGGACATACTCATTCCATGCTAGAATAGTCAAATGTTCTATATCTGACGTTACTTTGAAGGTGTCTGGATTCCTTTGATCTTTCACTTGTCTGTCTGTCTCTTTTTTGCAACTTTTGAACTGTTTTGTGCTTCCAATATCTTCATCGAAAGAACATAACATAGAATCAACAGGTTTCAAGGAAAAAAATGTCATATATCATAAAATCCTAATTTTTATTTTATTCCCTTGTGTTTCTATAACTTCAGTTACCACTTTAACCATTCAGTTTTAAGGACTTCATTATATTTAATGTAATCATATTGTACCATCTCCCCACAATTGTTTTCTTTTATACATTGAACACAATTACAACTTCATAGATGGTATTTTTATTTTATTTTTCTATCTTAAATGCTTGTCGTGTCCCTTGTGTAACTGAATTTGTCTATAATGTTACCTTAGTTAAGTATTATAGGGTTAAAAAGGGGGTAAAGATGTATTTCATAAGAAATTTTGATATTTCAATTTACTCAAAATAAATAATTCACTCTACTCTACCGCTGAAGCACGAATAACTACAAAGGTATATTAATAATGAAAATGTTCCATCATTTTGACGTCCATGGAGTTACCAAATTTGTCCTTTGGGTTACGCGTCTCGTTTATTGAATTAATTTGTGGCATGTATAAAATATTATATGTAAAACATATGATCAGATGATACAAATATTATTGATATCCTATTTTCGATAAACTTTACACATTATATTTTATTTTTAAATTGTAAATATTGAAGTTTCTGTACAGATTGTCCATAGAGTAATTAAATATGTCCTTGGAGTAACTTTTCCTAAGTAACAAAATGGACAGTAACGCCAGGGAATTACTACATCAAAAGTTACAAGTATAAAAGCAATGGCTGCATTAAAAAGATAGAGCACAGCTCCCACATCATGTGTATTTCACTTCAAAGTCGCTCATTGCATCACAAACATTATATATTAAATTATCTTAACATTATTTAAGTAACTCCAAGGACCTAAAAATAAATTACTCTCTCAAAAATCACAAACCAAATATTGTGTCTAGGAGGGTGAAACACACATGTTTTGTGTCTTTTTATATTTTGGCGGGTACAATATCTTTAGAAGGCGGCTGATGCTGATTCCTTCAAGAAAAATAACTGTTACAGATAACTTTTATGTCTTGGTTACTCCAAGGACACGGCGAAAATCACAAAGTTTTTTTTAAGGTTTAATGTTTAAAAAATTATATTCTAACTTTTTTCAGTCACCTTTTAGCATATTTTTGAACAATGTTAAGCATAAACAATACATTGAAGGAATTTTATACTCCCAAATTATTTTTACTGTCTCAATAATGAGGGTTGAATATATACCCTCGGCGAAATCACAAGCAATTTTCTTTAATTTAACTCATGTTAAAGGATTTTTTCAGTATTTTTATCAATTTTTAATCGAACTTTAAATCTATTTTCTTACGTTTAGATCATTGTTAAGTTCATGAGCACAAAGAAGTTTTTATTTTATTAAAATATTTACCAGAAAACTTGTATCACTGAAATCTGGACATTTTTTGAGAATGACCCAAGAGATATTTTTATCAGCATTTTTATTTATTCTTTTAGTGCCTAATTTTTGGAACCTGGGTGAAACAACAAAGTTTTGATATGAATTTGCATTCATTATACGTTTTGAAATAAATTTTTGGTTGAAGGGATAAAATGTTACTTAAATAGGCTCGGTTTTTTTCCTATAACCGAAGTAAAATGTAAGATGCACGGATGAATTCTTGCTCAGATTTCTGCATTCTGGATTTCTTTTTCCTTTTTAATTCAACAAAGATTTCAATGAAATAAATGCTTAAAAAATCGTAATTTACCATCAAAGTTTCTAATATAATACAGTCATAGTTCAGAATTAGTCAATTATTAATTTATTGACATTTTCATTTTCCGTATGTTTGTTGTTTAATTAACGTCCCTCTTGAGAGTCCCTCATATGGAGACACTGCCACAAGCTACAAATTTGGACCTACGTTCGGCACGCGGGTCATTGCGCATGCAGTAAGGGATATAGTGTGACATACGATGTGCACTAGTATGACATACGTAATCACACGACACAGATTTTGTCAGAAGCACAGATTAATAATTCCTCAGATTTCTGCATTCATTTTTTTTCTTTGGAAAGTCCTACTTAAAAATATTTATAAATAAAGAAGTATATTTTATTTTCAAAATATCTATTTTCATTCTTTTTCATATCACAAAAAAAAACAAAATATCACACTGGCACCTTAAATTCTGTTATTAGATTCATAGTTACATTAACAGGCATTCAAAAGTAGCATTTCGTACACAAATATACTGATCTAGTAATCATTTTGATAAGAAATGATCATATCAAATATTATTACAGTCACCGTCATAACATTCAAGTAACTAATACATATATGCAACAATAACATAATTATTAACATGTGAAGTATCATACAGCCAAAAACACAGTCATAAACACTCACAGACACATCACTCCAAATGCAGTACATGAGAGGCATTATCTGTATAGTCCATTATCTGGATATCTGCTTGGCGTAGTCTGTCCTTCAAGTCATGAATGCGACGGTCTAATTGTCGATACTTTCTTTTCTTGGGGGTGGACAACACCTCCAGCAGCAAACTAATCATCTTGGCTTCAATGGCTGCCTGTTCCTTCTGAATGAATTGAACAAACATGAGCAAATTTGGATGGTGGTGCCGACACATCCTGTTGAATTTATGATGCCATCCTCCCACTGCATTTGTTGTCCTTGACCCTTCATTTTCATAATGGTTCCAAGTCATCAGATGGCCTTCTACCCAAGCCCCAGTCACATAATCTTTGAAATGTACAGCATCTTAGTTATCACGTTCATTGTACTCCAGTGCCTCAAACCACACGTCTTCCACTTGCTGTTCGTGAACTAAAGGAAGAACAGCCCTCTTCTTACCAGGCAATGAATGCCTTCATCCTCTCGGAATTTTGTCGTCAATCAACATGATTGTACTTTCCTCCATATGCACTGAGTATAGTGAAAAAAAAATTCTTGATGTCCAAGGGAATTTTCCATGAACTGCATTCCTTGTGGCAGTTTTCAAAGTCCAGTAACCAATGCTCGACAGTCAGGAGACTTAGGAAAAGCATCACAGTGCTCTGCTGTTTATTAAATCACTAATTGCATTTTATTTATTCATCGCTAGATCTGGTTTGATGATTGACAACAATTTCTTTTTTCTGTAAAAACTTCATACAAATAATAATTAATAATTGATGAATAACTAAATTAATTATTTCTTCAATATTTCTATATACATGTATATTTTTCATTATTTTTTAATGTAATTTATCAATTAATTTCTTAAGTTTTTTTCTTTCTAACTTTCTATTTATTTTTGAATTGATGGATTCATTTATTTATTTTTTGTTAATATATTTATACGAGTATATAATATATTTCCAGGTCCCCATGTAAGTATCTACTTTACACTGCTTTTATAATAATTATTTTGACAATGTAAGTGTACAGGATAAAAAGAAGCAAAACATTTTTTTTTTACTAAATCTAGTTTTATTGAAGACTATTTAACACAAAATGCAGTAAGGTGGAGGCTCCGTAGAATTTAAAAAATCGCAACGTTTAATACTGCATTCGGAGTCTATTAAAACGAATAAAGAGCAAGACAACTGTTTCTAAACGAGTTCACACTATTAAAGAAAAAAAATCCTTATGGAACGTTTTTCTATGTATTGACTAGATCGTACTCTAGTCATCTAGATTCTGTGGCTGGAAAAGCTGTCTCACTGTACGGCCTGTCTTGTCCCATTCATGGTCTATAGGGTTGATATGACTGGATGACATTGATGCTTACTGAAATTGCCTGTACCTTGCCGAATATTTTAAGCCTACAGTACATGTCTCATTACACGCACTCCACACTTCATTTACACATTGTTGTGTGTACATACACGACATTTTAATCAAGCTTTTTATGGGTTTTTTTTTTTGGTTTTGGTTTTTTGTTTGTTTTTTTTTTTTTTTTTTTTTTTTTTTTTTTTTGTAAACAACTTAAAATGAAGAACACATGGAAATTTAAATAAATGAAAGATACACTTGAAAGCCTACGAAACCTGCACAGTATGTTTTTTGTTAAAAGGGTCATGGTTGAGTAATTACATAAACGATTACAAATTTTTTGCCGTGACAGGTAAGCACTGTGAATTAAAGTCAAAAATGCAAGCAATTGTAAATTGATATTAAGGTTTTTAAATTTTTAAAGTTTAAAAGTGGGTACTTAGAAATTTTGACAAGTGTATATATATGAGTAAATAGGTAAATTTGATTTTATATTTAAGGTGAAAATAACAGGTAATCAGTTGAAAACAGACTATACACAGGTGACTACTCAGGTGTGAAAATCACAATTTGGGTCAAATGGCAATAACCTATGATTGATTATTCCGAATATATAAATGAATAAATTTAAGATTATGTACATTTAAAATAGATTACACTTTCTATTTTGGATGACTGTTTCAAATGTTTATCTAAAAAATCATTTACAGCATGGAAAACACAACAGCTCAGGAAAACTTAACTCAAACGGACCAGGTGTGTTATGAACTTACAGTAGCGCTCTACATTTACCAAGGAATGGCTTTATATGCGGTAAATATTTAGCTCTTCAAAGTTAAAAGTTAGTCTATACTCTACAGTGTGACGTCTGCAAACTACACTTTGAAGTACTTATCGTAAAAAAAAAACAATTTGGGAGTGAGTAGTTGTTTAAACGCGTAGATTTTAATTTTTCATTGCAAACTATTGTGGAATCAGGATGCCAATATCAGAGCAGTAAAATGATAAAAATAATAAAAATAGTCATGCAAAAACTAAGTTTTATATCATTGATTCGCATTATTTACACTTCCAATGTCTTTGTTCAAAATAAAATTACAAATTATGGTTAATCATTTTCTCGAGACCACTAGATTTTCTGACGTCAGCATAGATTTGCGCGTAAATTAGCTATTTGTTTAATTTTCCCACTGATGAATGAGTCGAAATGCATTAATTTAAACAATATCTTATTATGAATGAACATGATCGGACAGAAGGCACTGCCTATATAAGTCCTTTCCACAATACAAAGATCAAAGTCATACACTGAAAACTTTAACAATCTACTGACAAGTAAATATTAGCTATATAACAATGAAAAATATAAATATATGCATTCATATATTCAGTAGAATTGTATATAAAAAGACAAATTAAAAAGAACAAAAAAAAAAATAGGAAATATATGAGCTGATGATATAATTTAAATTGATATTTTAACATATATTACTGGCAATTTTATTAATAATTGTATAAATTTAAAAAAAAAAATAATAAGAAAACATAAATAGGTTTTGGTTCTGTGGTTTGACAATTGAAAAACAAAAGCAGATAAAATATCATGCAAATCGCTTTGTAGTTGCAATAAATGATCTTGAAAAAGTTTAAATATTGCAATATTTTGGTTGTACATGTATGTAAGATTATTGTCTCCATTTAGAATAAGTTGTAAAGATAAAGGCATTGGCAAAGTATTAAAGCTTTGCGTTAGGTTCTGTCTTTGCATACAGTATTTTGGACAATGCATTATGGGCTACTACAAGTACACAGTTTTGTTGTAAATAAATGGCAACTTGAATTGTCCCTCGGAAACTCATTTTAAATTCTATTTTGAGATTAATGAAAGAAATATTTAAAATGATGTACGAGGGTTGTTAAAAAAGTTCGCGGACACATTGATTTACGGAAAATCTAATGTGTACTGTGAAGTATGACCTATATCTGATAAAACTAAAATTGTTTTACGTTCTCCAGTGTAATTAAACTAATTTTACAAGTTCACTGAAGCTTGTTTATTGCAAACACCTATAACCTTATGTAGATCATATCACATCCATAGTAAACCAACACAAACACAAAGTATGGTGGATGAATTTGTCATTTATTATACATGAATAAATGACGAAAGATAATCATAAAATACTCAGATAAAGGGGAGATCACTCTTGAAAAAATGTGTAAATTTGTACAAAACCTTAGTTGATCTCGCCTTGTAACATATTACATCAAGAAAAATCCACATAAACAATCCAGAATGTAAAAAATCACAATCAGCAAAAAAGGTGGCAGACAAAAACTGCCTTGGCAGATAAAAAACTGCCAAAATATAAAAATATCACAATATAACATATATGAATTATAAAAGAGTTTTTATCTATATACTTTTTACATTGCATATGTATTTAGATGTACAAAGGTGGTATAATGATCGGGGTGGTTGGTGGGCAACACTTGGAAAACCCTTCTTACTGTGATCGAATCAAAACAAAAAGAGACGTAGAATCTACACTCAGTGTCTCTTCTGATTGGTTGATAAAATTACTCCCTATCGATCGCTCTAATATTGACATAAAATCAAAACACGGATAAAAACGGATTGATAAATCAAATATCATTACATGAGTACATAAATGCTATTATTCACAATGATGCAGTTTTATGTTCTCTAGTGTAATTAAACTAATTTTACAAGTTCACTGAAGCTAGTTTTTTTCACACACCTATAACCTTATGTAGATCATATCACATCCATATTAAAGTAACACAAACACAAAGTATGATGGATGAATTTGTCATTTATTATACATGTATAAATGATACTGTGAAGTATGACCTATGTCTGATAAAACTAAAATTGTTTATTTTTAGAAATAAGAGGAAAGTGCATGATTATGAAAAGTGGCATATACGAGGGTTGTTCGAAAAGTTCGTGGACAACTGTCATATCTTTTTTATTTGACGTCATATGTTATCCATCCAAATTTGGTAGAAATATTTTACCAATAAATCCAAATGATTTGTATTAAAGTTTTTCGAAATATTACGATTTATTCAAAACGTATCTAGATTATAAAAATGCAAAAATCGGATCGCGGAGCAGGTCAAAATTTGGTAAGTTACAAAAAAACACTAAACAATGTCTGAAGTCATTATCTCTGTAAAATGGAGCAAAAATCAAAAAAAAAAAACTAGAAATTCAAAATAAGAATTGTTACATCGATTCGTAAAAAAAATCATCGTACATAATGAGCAAATAGAAGTTAAGGACAAATTTATGTATCTCTGTGTTCTATTGAACTACAATGGAAGTTTTAACGTATCACAACAATTGGCATGTCAAGGTAGAAAAGCAATATTCTGTCTAAAATCTAACTTAAGGTTAGTTAATTGAGTTTAAATATTGAAACTATGTTCTCAATTTTTGATATATATGTCAGTAGCATACTGAACTATGGCTGTGAAGTTTGGAGAAGCCACAATGCATTTAATATTGATAAGATAGATTTAGAATTCAAGAATGTTTTATGTGTTAGAAAAAACACAAATACGTCTATGATATACATGTATTTCGAAACAGGTAGGCTGCCTATGAAGACTATAAGACTATTTCGAATTTTTAAATTTTGATTCAAAATATTACAAAGTAAGAACTGTATTTTGAGATCATGTTATGAGAATCTGTCAGAGGAAATTGAATAAACCAATGAACAAGATCACGCACTGGGCTTCTAATATTAAAGATATTTTTTAAAAAATATTAAAGATTATTCGAAATTGGGCTAGGATATATGTGGACTGACCAAGAAAGAATTAGTTTTAACAGCCATTTCTCAATTATAAAGCAAAGAATTATTGACTAATATGTACAAAATTTCCTTGCTGTCATCAATAGTTCATCTAGATGTATATTATTTAAGTACATTATTGACCACTTCACACTGTAATATTATTTAGTAAAACCTATTCCTTCCAGTTATAAAAAGCAAATTAGCAAGATAAGACTGTCATCACATAATTTAGCTATTGAAGCCTAAATTTAGCCATAGAAATATCTTGCGCGAAAATCGAATATGTGAAGTTTGTAGTTCTGAAATTGAAGACGAATTCGATTTTGTTTTAAAGTGTCAACGATACAAGGGATTACGAGTAAAATATATTAAAAAATTCTACTGGGAAAAACCATCTATATATGTTTAAATTCATACAGTTGTTATGTGCACATAATGTTAAGGACCTTTGTAATTTGGTAAAGTTTTTGTACCACGCTTTTAACTTACGCAATGAATGTCATACTGCTTTATAAACAAATTTCAAAAAATGGTTCGTACAATCTCCATCATCATGATACTGATTGCTAAATTATAATGCTGACTGTTAAGAAAATACCTGCGCTATCTTTACTGTTTATATGTTATAAATTTATATTGTATACAATAAGATGTATGTCTTACGTAATAAAGTGATTTGAATTGATTAAATCCCTATCTTTCGTTTATTTGTATGTAAAAAATCAGGTCCATTTCTTAAAAGTTTGAAAATTTACAAAGATTCTTACTATGCGGTCATAGGATTCACTGAGCAATCACTTGACGTTAGTGACGTGACAATCAGATTTCAAACCCTTTAAGCTTTTTTATAGTTCTAACTATCATTTTTTAATCTTTAGACTTTTCTTTTGATTTTCTATAATGTCTTTTGTGCGGTTCTGGATATTAGTGAGAACTTAAAATAAATGTCAGCGCAGTTAAATGATTAAGGTATGAAAACAATTGCAAAAATCCATAGTCTGAACGTCCATGCAATAAGTGGGATATTGAGATACCGCAGGATTAATCATTGAAAATGTTCATCCATTTTTATAAATCTACTACCTTTTGAATACTTTTGTCTTTTGTACGTTGGGGCAATTTCCAGCAGTATCTTAAAGCAATTTATTTTCTTTTGAGACATTTTCCTGTCTACACATAATTTTTAGTAACAGGGTGCTCCATGACGTTCAATGACGTTCCCATTTTGGCCTGTTTTTACGCGCTTATTATTTATAATTTGATATAAAACAGTCAGATACTCTCCAATTTAATTCAAAATTTGATCAAGTGTCGTTTCATGAATACTGTAGCAACATGTAAAATATCATAAATCTTTTTGCGCTACAACTGTGCAATTTTTAATATCAATAAAACGCCTATGTAATGTAAACATGTGAGTGATATTGGATTCGTTGATTGATCAGTACCCCCAACCCCCAACGAAAAATGAAAATTCATATACCACTATTAAATAAAGATTTTCATTATCTTCTATTCATGATATGAATAGAGGAATGTTAAAACGTCAAAATTCAACTTTTTATAGTTTTAAATAAATGTATAAAAAGTTAAAACATACAGTGTACATAAGTGATCTTTACCGACTACCTAAGGTTTTTTTAAGATTGCAAATCTAATCATGCTTCTAGTTACGGTCTTAAGTTTAAGACTGTACTCCAGTTCTACAATAGCATGACTTTGGCTTAAGTACTCTGTATGTTACAACCCCCAGGTGTGACAAAACATTTGTTGAAAATTGCATTCCATATAAAGTGTCCCCGACCTGTTCATGTACTCTATTTCTACATAAATGAAATGTTCACCAAATTATTAGGCAAGCCACTCGATTGATCACATCAAGAAATACAAAAATTAGAAGGATATTCCTTGAATAAAAGACGGTATAACATTGGTTTTTGAAACAATTAATACTTTCCTTTAAAACTTTGCAGGAATGTTTGTACGTAAAATTTATGATGTTGTAGTTTCAATTCAGGATTAGATTACTTACAATTTATCCTTTAAACCTTTATCCTAACAGATTGTGGCCACAATTATTATAACTTTTGTCGAAAAAAGACGATGTAAAGCAGAGGTTTGCCATGGTAGACCAGGACTTCCACTGTAAGTAAATATGGTTAGAGTGATAGAAGCGAACTATTTTGATAATATACATGTATCCTTATTTCAGATGTATTTTGATATAAAACATAATTTATCAATAGTCATAAAATGATTTATATATTTTTGTTTATATCGAACATTAGCAAATACATGTATTAAAATTCTAGCTTTAATGACAAAAGTGTTAATTGATTTTAAATATAAAATTATACTTATTTTTTATTCAGGCCAATAAATTTCCTTGATGGTACCATAAATTCGATCGCCAATGCTGCAGCTTTTGGATGCATGCTGCAACACCTATTTATTTTTATTTCCGTTGGATCCATCTACTTCTCAGCTACAAAATGGTTGATAGGTATGTACAGTCGTTTGGCCAGTTCCGAATTAATGTAATGGTGTAAAAATAAATTAATACCTATTGTACGTAGGAGGGCGTATTTATGAGTGTTTGAATTAAGTGAAGCTTTAAATTTTTTTTGCCGTCAGTTTGTGTTCGTTAGCGTACTTGAAACAGTCGACATAATTTTTATTTATTTATTTATTTATTCATACAAAAGTTTATTTACAAATAATTTAATTTTGCTTGTATTCTCGCCATTCATTGGTTGATTTCCAAAAAGGAACGCATAACATTTTGTATAATCTGGTTTGGTATGGGGACACACCCCCTTGACAACCAGCTAAATCATCATATCCATGCAATCCCCTCATTTCCAGTCCTCGGAATCCATGGAAAATTCCAGATTTAATAGATGTACCTTCAACTATAAACAATTACTCGATCTTACCTCATGTAAACAAGCATCATGGCTGCTAGATCTATGTATCAGTTATTACCTCCCCTCGCTTCAAATCACTTCCGTTACTACGGTTGTATTATTGCGCGGTAAATTTGAACTTATAAAAAGCAACACAATTTTACATCAAAAGTTGTTTAATTATTTTAAAATTAAATTATAAGGAATGACTTTAATTCTTGGCCATATTGTCGAGTATAATCTGGTTTGGGTCAGTTTACGCTTTTTTATAATCCGCTTCGCGGATTATAAAGCGTAAACTGACAAAAATAGATTATACTCGATAATATGGCCAAGAATTAGAGTCATTCCTTAAATGAAAGGGAATGGGATCGGGCAGCAGGCAAGGCCTATCTAAGCCCTCTCCCAACACAGCCATGGTGAACACACACATTATATAGGTATTACACTGAATAGACAAACGTAGTCAAAAAAAGGAGAAAAACAAACCTGTGTAGCTTTGACCATGTTATTCTTCACCAGATCTCCCCTGTAGTACATATCGTGACACCACCCTACCCAAATCTACAAAACCTCGGAATGGTTTCATAATAATTTTTTGCGTCGGTTGACAATGGTTTTCCTTGGGGTGTCAATTTCAACTGTTACCCTCCAAAACAGGCACCATTTATATAGTGTCAAATAAAACAATTGGTTGCTGCTATGTTAGCATGTACTGCTTCAAATATTTTAGTAAAAATGCCTAGTTCTTGATTATGAATATTTTTTTTGGCGTGGGATTAATTTCCGCTATTCACGCAAACACAATATTTCCGCGGAAATTTGTCACAGCGCACTGAAGATTCATTAAGGACATATACATGTAACGGCAATCCAAGATATCCGCGTAATTTCATACCCGCGGATTAAATAGAAATTCTGTTTCCGCGGAATTATGACCCGTGCAATTAAATACTTTTACAGAATACAAAAATAAATGAAGTTCATGAATTTGATCACAATCAATAATATTTTTATATGGATTGTTGGGAAAAGTGCATTACTTGGAGAGGTTTATTTTGGACAAGCAAAGAAATAATGATGAGCATCTTCAACAGAGTCAATACAGTGTTCACACATTGGTGTTTCTGATAATAATTGGTTTTATTACATTTTTACCCGTGAAATACTGTAATTTATTCATTGAATAAATATGATATCCTGTCACAGTATGAAAGGATATCGAAATGATATCCTGTCACATTGTGACGAATATCAGAAGTGCGGGAGAACTCTCGATTTCCCTTCGCATAACGAAGATTGTTGTATAAAAATCTTCCTTGACCTAATTTAAGATAGATGGAAATAAATAAACCATACTGACAGCGAATATAACTTTCATAATTACCAAAAATATGTTGCTTAATCCATGTTTACAATGTTTCACCCGATGACGTCTCAACCGCTCAATTATGACGTCACGAGCCTATCAAAGATTTTCTTTTTAAAGAGAATGTTTTGTAGTTGAATATGGAATTTATTTCACTCGTGAGACAAGATTTTGTTTATATTTTTACTCGTGCTTCGCACTTGTGAAAATATAAAAAAAATCCCGTCCCACTCGAAATTCCATATTCAACTACAAAACATTGAATATCCTCTACTTATATTAAGTCTGTTATTAAATTACTTGCATTATTTCGTAACTGACAATGTATATATTGTACTTTCTTATTCTAAAATGAAAAACGTCTTTACATTTTTTTTACAAAAATAAGAAGACCTTTAATTGTAGATATTTCAGGATAATTTCTGATATAATCAGACAAGTTTTTCCCCAATTTAACTGTTGATGGAAGGAAACTTGCTATATGATGTAGGTAGGAGGCACTTTGAATTCTTCAGCATTAGTTCTAAGATTATAGGGGTGGTTTGTAGGACGAAAGTTTCAACCAAATCATATTAATATTGAGATGAATAGCCATTTATGATTTTATTAAAAGTAGCAATTTATGAATATTCCTCCTTGTTTTAAAAGATCCCACCCCAGGTATCAAAGATAAAGTTTGATATGTAAACGTGACTTATTATACTCCCGCTTGAAAATCAGGGGGGTATATAATGATTGGGTGTCCGTCCGTCTGTCTGCACGTCAGTCCGTCTGATACACTTTGGGGCTACCCATCTCTTATCCGCAACTCCTCATAGGCCTATAGGGAATCCCACTGAATGAAATTTAATTATGCTTTTACAGAATCTTTGTTAAACAGTGCCTTGGTGACCTTTTATTTAACGTTTTAATCTTACACGAAATTTGGAATTCCTTAGCAAAACATGTACACTGCCGTTCTTTCTCATATTGAAGGGTAAATCCATCTCTTATCCGCACTCCTCCTATACGGCTGAAAAAAATTGATGATACATTCACAGATTCTTAATTACATAATACCACTGTGCACTTCTTATTTAATTTTTGATCTGAAACTTATTTCTGGTCCCTCTCTTTGGGTACCAACAATTTTGACCTTTTGGACTTGCCCTGGGTGTTTAATTACTATTAAAAAAATAACTTTGGCCTTAACTTTTGAAATCTTTATGCCGTGGCTTTCATGTTTCACAGATGTATTTCTTGTGACAGAACCTTTGTCTTAAAATACATTTTTTTTTACTTACTGGCCTTTACATTAGAATTTGTCCTACTTTTTATGTATATCAAGTATCAAATTAACGTAGCAGACCAGGTAAGATGAAACAGATAACATAATATTCTTAACCATTTTATATTAATCAGATTCACTGCTTAGCCGATTTCAAGTCGATGTTCACATTACATGATTATGAGTTAAGAACTTGAAATAAAAGTGAAATGCAAAAACATATATTACAAAATATTAATTATATTAACACATACGTCTAGTTAAAATCACCAAACATGTTTTTACTGTTTTTAAGCACCTACAATTTTCCTTGCTTGCTTTTTGATGTCAATGGTCTATTACCCTATATTTGCTTGCTTGAATTCATCTTCACGCCTGGCAGGCTCTATCATTGGATTTCTGTATACCTTATTTTTGTAAGTATTATACATTATAAATGTTAATATCTTAAATTGTAATTGTTTCCGTATATGGCGACTCAATTAAACCTTAATTTTACCTGTATGGTTATATAGTACGCGTTTATTTCAACAGGTTTTTGGTTATTTTTGGTGAAAATTACCTCTGTAATAAAAGAAACTGGGTAAGATTATATATAAATCATGATATTCTTTAATCAAATCTGCTGATTAGCGATTTCAAGAGATGTGAACAATACATAATTACCATATATTTTCATTATAGGTATGGGCTATCTACGCCATTGTTTTTATTTCTAAAATATATCTACTGATGCTTTTCATTTACCGAATTGTAACTGCACTGTGCAAGAAATCTACCAATGTAAGTAAAGCACTATTCTAATAACACGTATATAACTTTGCTGGAAATCGCAAATTAAGTTGAAAAGTGGAAGTAAAAACGGGCCTTTTCTTTGAATTTTATGTTTATATTATAGATAAAGGAGCCTCTAGTGAAGATTGATCAGCTGATGCATGTCAAAAATTTACTTCAGAAACCCCAAAACAGTGCCGAAGAAATAAAGATAAAGTACACGTGCAGTTTATTTCTATATGTTGTTATGTTTGTATTATTGAATTCCAATAATTTTAACATACTGCATTTTTAATATAGAGTAGAAAAGTGTTATATATTGAAAATATATACATGTTCATTGCCGGTTTTGATGAGCAGTTGACGAACTACTGTTTTAAACAAAGGATTTGAGATATTTGAACTTCCATCTGCTTTCCATTATTTATTTATTAAAACATTATTTATTTAACTCTGTATTAATCACTCACACACACACACAATTGAATATGAATTTTGAATAGTTATTCGCAAAAAGAAATTATTATTATTTTAAAGTTTTTATTATTTCAAAGTATTAATTTTAGAGAGAGGATAATTAAGCATGCAGATGCTGTCGTGGCTGAAGCTAAGCTTTGCTGTCTTCATAAAAGTCTATACAGATGTGCCACACGGACTCTTGCCATCAACACCATAGTTCTGCTTTTTTTCTATTATGTAATCTTTTGATTGTGATAGATTCAGTCTGAAATAAATCTATAGATGAATTGAAATAACTCATTTCAAATTATTAGGTTTGCTCATAAAACAGGTTATTATTTTACAGGCATTTGTCTTTAACATGTATACAGTCTATGGTATTGGACAAATACATGACTATCTTGCTTCAAACAAATACCTACTTTTGATTGGGCTTAAGGTTCCAGAGCCATTTCTTCGCTATATACAGACTGCAATTCAAGTCATCAGAGGCACGTAATCACAAATGTTGAAGCACATAACATATATAAGAATTCTAATTAAAAATTTTGAAAATTATAATTAAATTAAACCTCTCTCTCTCTCGATCGATCGACATAAGCAAAATGCATACTCATGCTCTGATATCGATGTCTTGGTTTGTTTTCATTTTCAGTAGTATGAACTGCTAACAATGTATTTTTACATTTCAGTCTCGTTCATTATCGCCAATATCATATCAGCTATTTATCTCATCGCCAATATGGTCCTCATCTATCGTTCTCAGAGACAACATATCATACAGATTTGGAGAGGAGACAGGTCTTTCATTCCCAAAAATTGCACTCAAACACATACTGACATGCTGGTTTGTACATCTGTTTTGTGCATTTTATGTTTATTTAAAAAAATGTTTGAATAAATGTCTCACATTAATGCATTTCTGTTTCCCTTAAAACAGTTAATGAATATAAATTTTACTCCATTCCTTTTCACTCAAGATTTGGACTGCAATAAATCTTTATCAAAATGTCTAACTTGTTTTTATTTTATCATTTTTTTTAACTTTTAATTTCTTCCAGGTGAAAAATTTGATGTACGCTGGAAACCAAGTTTCTCATCTTCTTGGAGGTTTATCTTTAATAATAGTCAGAACATTTATCTAATTCGGAAAAATTATGGTGTCCTGTATATTTGTTGAACAAGATATCAAATTAGAGTTGTAATATTGATGTTTAATTTTTGACAGACTTTGATATGTATAAACCTAATGGAAATAATGGTGCTTTATTTTTTTTTTACCAAATATTCTGATATTTAAACAATGCAACATATGCCAAAATTTTGGAGGCACTATTTAATTTACTAAAAGCAGTCACAGAGAAAATCATTTTTCAAATTTGTAAGTCTAGTATAAATCTATAATAACGTATTTTTTCTATTCCAATTTAGGTTATTTAATTTCACAGATAGTTGTGTTCCTTTTCTGTGTTGTCGTGGCGTATTTTGTTGTTTTACCTCTCATGAAGGAGGTGCCCATAATTTTCCTATCACCATTGGAGGCTATTTTGTAAGTACATGTATATGGTCACGTATTTCTGTTTGCTGTGATTTATTAACATTCACTTTTAATTGCAGGATATAGTCGTCATAAATCTGATTTTAATACTGTTATAAAACTCGTATTTACTTTTAGACCTGGAGTGGTATTCATGTTTATTTTCCGAGTTGTACTTCGAATCATTTGTCGTAAAGCCTTCTTACAAAACCATTACATAAGTTCTGACAATGGTGAACACTTAGAGACGGTACTGGCTTTAGATAATAGGTAGGTATAGTCAAATTAATTCAGTTTATTTTCCTCTAAACCTATCAACATATCATTTTGTTAAAACACATTCTGATTGCACATACAAGCACTCTGAAGTTGACATCAAAAAATGCTTGAGTTTCTGATTGACAATATCTGTGTGGTTTTTAGATACCAGGTATTTCAACAGTCTATTGGAATTCCCATGGTACCAATTGCCATCTGTTATAATCAGACCTAATTTTGTATTCTTATGTAGCAGAATTTGTGCAAAATCTTATGCGTGAAAAGAAGAAAACTTTTTTTTTACAATTTATCATTGAATGAAATGAAAACTTTTGCTGTGACCTTTTTTCAATGACAACGAGCACACGGCGGGTGTGTCGACATTTACCTGATATATCGACGATATTGTTTAATGGACGTTGAGATTGAATACTGTTCGTTATTTCATATATATATCGTATTGTCAATTGTAATTTCTGTTCCTACATCGAAACATATATCCTTGTGAGCTTGAGATAAAAAATATACCACAGGGTCTGTCAAATCTCTTTCATACTTGGATAATTTACTTGAAAAAGACGTTAATGGTAATCTAACAACCTAGCTATATGATATACGTGATAACTTTAACTTTTCTATCGTCAGCTTCCCTTTTTTTATGAAGCAATATACCTTCATCACCTGCATACAGAGTGTATATATCTAAGTTGATTCGATACGCAAGAGCATGCTCTACATATGAACAATATCTAAAACGAGGTATATTATTGACAAGCAAGTTGATGAAACAAGAATATCTGCAGTCTCGTTTAAAGTCAACACTTCGTAAGTTCTATGGTCGATACAATGACCTTATCAACAAATATAATTTATCATTGAGTCAAATACTGACTTAAGTTTTTCATACTAATTGTTAGTCCATTATTTTTATACATTGAATTGACGACGGAATTTTCCGTTATTTCCTGATCATGACAGGGAGCTCATGGCGGTTGTGACCGGTCAGCAGGGGATGCTTACTCCTCCATGGCACCTGATCCCTCCCCTGATGTTTTGGAGGTCAGTGTTTGCTCTGCTCTTATTTTGTATTATGGGCTTTGAGATTGAATACCTTTACTCAGATGACCAAAAATCCACTGATAAGAAAACGCAAAAACCACCTATTGCTCATTGTATACCTATGATTCTTGTATTAAATTTCAATTTCAAATAGCCAGGTCAATGACCTACTTTTCATGCTAGTGGCCCCTGAGTATTTCTCAGTTTTTCAGACTATGACCAATATTTTTATCACACACAAAATATTACAAGCAACTAAACTCCTTATAGCAATGGAACGGCGTTGCTTCTTATAAAGAAATGATTGGAGTTTTGGCCATAAATATGATAATTATTACAGTCCGAATTTCCTCTTTCATATTTATATTTTTCCCCATTTATAATCGAATATTTAATCGGGTGCTCTCTCCTTCATGGCACCTGATCCCACCTCTGATGTTTCGGAGGTCCGTGTTTGCTCTGCACCTATTTTGTATTGTTTTATGGACTTTGATATTGAATACTATTCATTATCTCCATATCCTTCTTTTGCATGAAAATCTTTGACAAGTTGCACTTTCTTTACAAATCTATGGTGATTTTGACTCTTTTTCAGGCGAGTATACCAGAATCTGTCCTATTTCCTGTTTTTCTATTATATACTGATTGGTTTATTCAGATGTGTGTACCGTGTAATAGTTTCAATGTGTTTAGGAATATTTTACATAGCGCGTATGGATAGATCTGTGTTATTACCTGGATATGAACATCGTGATATCGGTGAGTGTATCAATAAATTATATTATTATATAGCTAATAAATAGTCTCTAATAAAATATTATCAACAATCTAGAGAATTTTTGCGTTCAATATCACGACGTTTTATTGAACGCTGACTTTGTACACTGTATCACGTATACGAGTATGCCCGAAACATTCCGAATTAGAGTATTCAATATCGAATGCCAATTTGAAAACAAAAAAAGTCGTCTGGTTAAATTTTCATAGCAAAATTAACGAAATGAAGTGACATCTAGGTAATATATGTTTATTTTTCAAACAAAATGAAATTATTTATTAAAACATTAGTACGTATCAGACACATTAAAACCTAAATAAGCAAATCATATCGCTCGATAGAGTCATCGGAATTATGCGATATTGAATGCTTACAGGACAGACGTTAATTTGAATACCGATATTTAAAAAATCCTTAAGTAGCCTTTTTTAAGTTGGATTGATTATTATGAATTATGTGAAAATGTTTAAGATATATTATAAAGGAGTTATTGAATTTATATCGCAAGCTCGTGTATCTGAACAGCCAACTTGTGCCAATATTCACCGATATAAATTCAATGACCCTATAATATAATTTAGCCCATGCGTGACGTACAAAATTAAACAACTTTCATTTACTTGATGCTAACCTTTCGTCTTATAAGAAGGTCTTTTAAGATTTCAAAATTTAATATGTTGACCAATATATTTTTGCTTGCCGTAAGATATTCTCAGCTATTTTAAAATAATTGAATTAAAGTATATTAATCTCTAAATAAATTAATTTTAATTTAGTTTTCATTTCCATTTTATTATAAGCATGTTTCTTCTGTTCAAGGTTATATGACATATCTTGGTTCTCTGGAGGTTGAACTTCACCATTGTCACCCAGTAGTTGTTGTCTTTTGTGACCAGATGATCAAAACTGTGAAAAATATCTCTACTAAATCCGCGCAGAGCCTTAATTCCCCGGATGATCCTGCTTATGAAAACAGGATGTGTGGGCTCTCCAGTGTTTACACAAGTAAAGTAAGGAATAGGTGGCAAAAGATGAAAACCATGATCTTTAACCAGTCTCTTTGCAAAACTTCGAAAACAAACATTTCTTTTGAGCATCTTCTTACTGCCAGGAAAACCTTGGTGGGATCCACAAATCAATCATCTTACCTCTAGGTAAAGGTATAATGAGAGTCTTGAGACTAAACTTAGGATATGAAATTAGAATCTCTGGATGTTATAACTAGTTTTTTAAATCAATTGATATTATTAGGAATAGTGTACCTCTGTTAGAAAAAGAATCTACATGTATTTCAAATATACCTCTGAGAAATTTGTACTTTTTCTTAGTTGTTTTTTATTTAAACTCTATCCTGAAAATATCCTAACATTTATTTGACATAGAGAAAGATAAGATGAAATTTAATGTATCCAACTTTGAGATAAATCAAAATTAAAAACGCACTGATCCCGTTACAATTGTGGATATGAATATCAAAAGTTCCTTGTTGTTATTTTATAAGAATTAAGAAAAAGAAGTTTTTGTTTTTGTATTCGTTTTCCCCCAACGTGATGTAAACATTTGAATGACTTGTCAGTCTATTATGCACATCTACACATGTATCAATTCAGAAAAAATGAGTTGGTGTTTTGTTTTCTTGAAATTTGGCATTTTAGTTTATCTTTCACAGACAGAGAATCGTTTTATGCAATGCTTATTCAAATTAAGTCGATGGAAAATTGTTACTTGTTAAAAGTAATATTATTAATATTTCTCTGTAATTTGTTGTTTTGCATTTAGGAAAATGTCGCATACGCGTATAGGATTATGACTTGTGTGATTTTTTATTGGTAAAAAATCTGCAGCTTAATGACATTAAAATCCAAATTTTATTTTTTTTCTAAAATTGTATTAATTTTTTTTTTACATTTTCAGAAAAAATAATGATAAAATTAAATAATTTGTATATTAGTCTAGATATTGTTTTTTGATAATGTTTAAAATATTTCTGATTCATGTGTCAAAATAAGGTAACATAACCATTGCTTTTTATTTTTAAAGCTTCACTTTTTGTAACTTCTTTGATTCTATGGAACGAGTAAAATCTTGATAATCTAAGAAATCAAGCTATAATTAGATTTAATACAAAAAATCAATTGGATCAAAAGGAATTGGAATTAGAGCAAGCACGGACCTCTAAAAACTTCAGAGTTGGAATCAGGTGTCATGTAGGAGTAAACATTCTTTGTCAACTGATCACACCTGCCCTGTTCTTTTTATTACTATTAATTATTATGCAAATGAAAAAAATCCCTAGACCATTCAGTGTAAAAATACAGTTTGTATAAGAACGTAAATCTTCATTCGACTTAATGATGGATTGAATTTGCTGACAAATGTCATTGCTTCTTTCGACCATAAAATTAGCGAAATATTGAATTTGAACTTAATCTTTGATATCTTTGTTTCATCAATTTATTGTCTGAAGCTTTACCCATTCGAAAATACTGTTCTTATGCTCTTGCGTAATGAAACAATTGCAATATATAAACTCCATATGTAGGGAATAATATCATACTCGTTGCTACATCATTAAATTAAATCAATGGGATTATCATAAGGCTTTGTTTTTAAGTAACTATAACCGTCTTTTCTAGTATAGCATTTAAGAGTAAGATACTGTAAATGTGTCAAGATCAAAGGGATGTGTCTAATCAAAGTAGAAGTTAATTCGCAATTTTAAAATGTATTGTAAAACAGTCCTCTATAATGTCAAAAAGCCTTGACATTGATTTAACAGTCCATTCCGAAGTAACTACTAATATAGGGGTGGTGTAAGGAAATGTTTGAAGCCTTTCCTTTTATGGTCATATTTTGGAGGCCACATATTTTGCCAATTTATATATGTTATGTAATAGTCACATACTGGGAGACCAATTTGTTATCGCATAACTGTTTAATAATTTTTCTCAGGAATTGTGTTTTAATGTTACATTGTCTCTCAGTCTTTTTTATTCAGTTTTATGTATTATATTATATATTGTCATTTCATAATAAATGACAGTTTATGAGACAAATATGTTTTGTGTTATTTGACAAATAAAAAACAAGCTCAATGATGTCAGAGGAGTGTTTAATTAAAGGATTAAAAGCTGTACTTAAACTAATATAAGACCTACTTTGACCAAACATGCATGGATGAAGCATTTATGGATATACACTATCAGATTTACTACATAAGAGATTCTGGGACTGTGGGGTTTTTTTCTGATTGATTGCCTCTGTAAAAGCTTTAGTTGTTTTTTACCAGGTAAGTATAAACTTTTTTACGACCAAACCTGTGTGTTCATGTATAATGCGTCGGAATTTCATAAATATTATGGATTCTGTTGAAAATTACGCCAGACGATGAGCCAGATATCAAAAAGAAGACATTGACACCTTGTCAGAATGGACTAAATGCATTAGATCCATGTTAAAGTCGCGCATTAAAAGATTGTTGGGCAGTATGAAAACCATCTATCCTTCTGTGTAGAACAAACCAGAAGTGAAAAGAATAAGATAGATTACATGATCAATACGCAGGGGCGTAGTATCCGGGGAGGCCAGGGAGGGCCTGCCCCCCCCCCACTTTTTTCCCAACCTAACTTACACTATAGGAAATGTTAATTGAAAGCCTGGTTGGTCCCCCCACTTTTAGAAATGTACCGAAAATGTAGTATAAGAATTGGTACTAAAAGTAGTTGACACTGAGAAAGAGTTTACGTACCTAACACCAACCCCCACCCCCCACCCCCACGAAATAGGACTTCCGACTTTGGGCAACTTTTACCTTTTTTTTTTTTTTTTTTTTTAGCTTGTCAACTTTTTCAGGTAAGTGAAAAAAAAATTTCTCTGCCTGGCCCCCCCCCCACTTTCAAAAACGATGCTACGCCACTGATACGTACTGACCCCTGCCGACAAAGCAGGTTACAACGCTGTCTTTGTTTTTAAGGCTTATTATATAAATTGTATGTTAGAAGAACTTGGATTTAATTCTACAAGTGGTAATCCTACTTATACTCATACAAACGTATTTCCTTTTTAAGGAAGAAATTCTTCAAAATCAAATGTCAGTTTTGAATATTTTTAATATTCCTCAGATCCAAAAGAAATTTGAACTACCCTATATATATTGGATTCCGAAACTTCATAAAAATTCTTACAAACAAAAATAAATTGCGGGTTCCAGTAAATGTTCAACCAAGCCTCTTTTGTTATTCCACTCTAAGATATTAACAGTAGTGAAGGAAAACTTCAGAAGTACTGTGCAACAATATATATTTAAGAAGTGGTGTGAATCAGATGTGGATACTAAAAAATTCCAAAGAACTTTTGGACAATTTGAAATCACAAGATTTTACAAAAATCAACGGCTTAAAAACTTACGATTTTTCAAATTTTATACAACCATTCCCCATGATAAATTAAAGTCCAGGCTTTTTGATATCATTGACAGCTGTTCTTTTAATAAAAATGGAACTCGTAAATTTACTTACATGGTCATTGGTCATTTGCAAAATTATTTTGTTAAAACACATTCTGATTGCACACACAAGAACTCTGGGGTTGACATAGGGGAGATGCTTGAGTTTCTGAGTAACAATATCTACGTGGTTTTTGGAGACCAGGTGTTCCAACAATCTATTGGAATTCCCATGGGTACCAGTTGCACTCTGTTGTTGGCGGACCTATTTTATATTCGAATAAAGCAGAATTTTGTGCAAAATCTTACGCATGAAAACACTGAAAAGAAGAAAACACCTGATGTGGCCTTCAACTCGACATTTAAATATATCGACGACGTATTGTCAATTAAAAATGGTGATTTCAATTTCTACGTCGATACGATATATCCTGGTGAGCTTGAGATAAAAGATACCACAGAGACTGACACATCTGTTTCATACTTGGATATTTTGCTTGGGAAGGACAGTGGTGGTAATCTATCAGCCAAGCAGTATGATAAACGTGATGACTTTTTTCTGTCGTCAACTTCCCTTACTTATGCAGCAGCATACCTTCGTGACCTGCATACAGAGTGTATTCGATACGCAAGAGCATGCTCTACGTATGAACAATATCTAAAACGAGTTATATTATTGACAAGCAAGTTCATAAAACAAGAATATCAGCCGTCTTGATTAAAGTCATCATTTCGTTTTATGGGCGATACACTGACCTTGTTAGCAAATACAATTTATCATTGAGTCATATGCTGACTAACGTTTTTCATACTTATTGGCCCCGTGGGGATCCGGGTTATAGAATAGGTCCTCAGTACCCCCTTGCTTGTCGTAAAAGGCGACTAAATGGGGCGGTCCTTCGGATGAGACCGTATAAACCGAGGCCCCGTGTCACAGCAGGTGTGGCACGATAACATCCCTCCCTGCTAAAAGGCCGTAGGTGCCGAGCATAAGTCTAAATTTGCAGCCCTTCACCGGCAATGGTGACGTCTCCATATCAGTGAAATATTCTGGAGAGGGACGTTAAACAGTATACAATCAATCAATCAATCATACTTATTGTTGGTCAATTATTTATACACTGAATTGACGACGGATTTTTCAATTATTTCCTTATCATGACCAGGAGCACACGTCGGGTGTGACCGGTCAGCAGGGGATGCTTACTCCTCCGTGGCACCTGATCCCACCTCTGCTGTTTTGGAGGTCAGTGTCTCTTATTTTGTAAGTGTCTCTTATTTTGTATTGTTTATGGACTTTGAGATTGAATACCTTTACTCAGATGACCAAAAAATCCACTGATAAGAAAACACAAAAACCACCTATTGCACATTGTACACCTATGATTCTTGTGTTAAATTTCAATTTCAATGACCTACTTTTCATGCTAGTGGCCACTGAGTATTTCTCAGGAAATATCTCAATTTTTCACACTATGACCAATATTTTTATCATACACAAAATATTACAAGCAACTAAACTCTTTATAGCAATGGAACAGCGTAACGGTTGCTTCTTATAAAGAAATGATTGGAGTTTGGGGCATAAATGGGATAATTATTACAGTCCGAATTTCCTCTGTCATATTTATATTTTTCCCCATTTTAATCGAATATTTAAAAAAAAACTTATTGATAAGAACTTTGAATTATTTATAGCCCCAGATTACGTTGGGGTCAATGATCAAATTATTGAGATATGTTGTCTGGAATGATTCTTGTACATATTTTTGAATTTCTTTATTTGACAGTATCAAAATATTTATGAGCTTAAACACATATAATATTTGCAAAATGATGTTTAAAAATACATGTAACCTTTACTTTGTGATTGATATGGCAAGAAATAATTTTTTTGACAAAAATGTAAAATGAAAATATAAGTCCAAATTTCCTCTGCATTGCCATACACTGACTTTTGTCCCTGTATATTTTCTTTAAATAATAAAATATTATTTTTTAAATTGATTTTGATTTAAAACTTGCTTATTTTATACATTTAGAATAATTTTTGATTCAACATATTATATTTTATAAAATTTCCTTTCTGTTTTCTTAAACCTGAGTAAACGTTATCCTTAAAATGCCTGCTTTTTGATTAATGACGGGTTTATAGGGCATGTCTCACTTTATAACGTCCCATACACCTAACTTGCATTAATGACTCATCTACGTTGCGTTGCATCATCTTGCGTTGATGCTGTATCAGATCTTTTACCAAATGATATGACTGACTATTTCGAAGTCTATCGAATAATGCACATTTCCATAACATTTGTTTAGCTTGTAACGTAACACAGATTACCATATGAAATTTTTAAATCGAGTTGTAGTAATGAAAACCACAGCTGTCGACAGTCGCTCGCTCCCTCTTGCATTTCAATGAAAATCGATACCAAAAAAACACAAATATTTACATTTGTTTGTAAGTATTCACGAAGTCTTCACTAAAGAACTACAACTTATTTAATTTAGATAATTTAATGTTAATGACAATTTGGCCATTCATACTTTTCTGAATGAAAAAAAGAGTTCGTTAGTGTTAAATATGAAATAAATATTAAATGAATAAGTAATGATTTCAAAACAACTATCGAATTTTTTTTAATACCTGAAGTAAAATATACAAATCAATAATGAGAGATTGATCTCTTTATATTGTCAAATAATGCATATTTTGTGAAATGTACAAATATCTATAAAGAAATATGCAATCGCTCAAATGTTTACAATTTGAAATAAAAATAGAGGTAGGCGGAAGTTCTTTCTGGATACGTTGCTTTAAAAACTAGTATGACATACATAATCACACAGCATGCTTTTGTTAGAAGCACGGATGAATGCTTCCTCAGATTTCCTCATATTTCTGAATTTTTATTTACTGAGAAGCCTACTTTCTATTTGCAGATGGCAATATTTAAAATAAAGTCTCTGTGCTGCTTTGACTTGGTACCATTAGCTTTGCTCGTTATTTTTGTTATCTGGCATCAACAACAATCTTCATTACTTCATCATTTTCGATATAAACAAATTCAAAAGTTGATTGTTAGATAATAACTACATCGATCTGTTTTAAATATTGGATCTGGACTGACGTTAAAGAAGTCGTTCTAATTTATTTTCTTGAATAACATAATGCAAAAAAAAAACACACACACAGATGATCTGATGATCTGAATAAAAGCATTTTTATAATTTTATAGTTAAACAAAGTTTTCAATTAAATAAATGCTTAAAAAATCGTAATTGACCATCAAATTTTCTAATAAAATACAGTCATTGTTCAGAATTAGCCAATTATCAATTTATTAACATTGACATTTTTCCGTATGTTTGTTGTTTAATTAACGTCCCTCTCGAGAATCGCCATTTGTGAATTACTCACATTTCCCACAAGCTACAAATCTGGACCTATGTTTGGCACGCGGGCCATTGAGCATGCGGTTAGGGATCTATTTCATATCTATGTTGCAGTAAAATGACCCTTGGTTTATACAGTATTATCCCAAGGAACTGGTCTCCACGTTCCACTGTTTTTTTTTTCGTAAAAAATGGGGGAAATAACTCAGAAATGCATTTTAAAAAAAACAGTAACTAATCAACATTGTCATGTAATGAAAAAATAAAGCAACAATGATTAAATACAGGCAAGTTTATGTTAGAATCTTGACCGATAAACTTCAGTTTTTAAATTGACAGTTTAGAAGGTAGCATAGGATTTTCAGCTAGTTCAGATTTTAGACTGTCCTGAAACCGAAAAGAAAACATTTTAGATATTTTTTAAAACAAATCAAGATTGTAAGCAAGGTGAGTTTAATTTTTTGTTTTACATGTAGAAATCTTTTACGAAAAAAGTTTAAACTGTATCTGTCTTGGTATTTTACAAAGATGCATTTTAATGGTGTTTATTGTGTTGTAAAAATGACTCAAATTTCTTGATGTTTATTATTGCACTATATGAAAACTTTCGTTGTATCGAGAACATACCCAATTTGCGGAAATATTCAGAATTTGCTTTTATTTATTCACTTTAGTGGATATGTCCTTGTTTTACAATAAACCATAATTGTTTGGTAATGGTTATTTAATACTTACTGACATTAATGGCTGACACATGAAGCATTTAACCGACATGGCGGAATACTGTTGAAAATTAAAAGATGCTGTGAGGATACATTTAGTAAAAATGCAGTGTGGAAATACGTATATGTACGTAAATAAACTGAACGTTGTTCTATGTATAATTTCAGAAAGAAATACATAGGCATGCATGTACACGTACTAGATTCCAATTGTTACTTATATTGTGGCAGTTTATATTTTTTTCTTATCGAAATATACTAAAAATGTATACATCCATATTAAGTGAATTTTAGAAATTTTTAGTATATTGTACAAAATGAAAAGGGTCTACGTCTTTTTCCTTTATTATTCCAGTAGTCGAAGATTTTGTGGCAAATAATATTAAAATCCTGAGCCTCCCATTTTCAAAACATTACCAGACTTTGATCCTGGTCAGAAATTTTGAATTAATGATGTTTTTTTTTTTTTTTATATTTGATCATGGCTTATTGAACCTTCAACATATTTTCTGATTGCTTGCTGTAGGGACTTTCATATTTCATATATATTTTCCTTGTGACTGGACTTGTTTGTTGATACCAACATCTCCGAGTTTTTGATTTCATATTGTATTATGTTCGACCTATAATTATATAATTAAAAATTATATTAACCTAATATGACCTTGAGCTTCCATACTAGGGCATGCATGTAAGCGTTCCCAAAATTCATTGACAATTTCTTTTATTTGTAATTCTTGTAACATGTACATGTGTGCATAACAGAAAATCACTATTTTAAAATATTTTCAGCTTTATTTACAGAATGGAAAATAAAACAGATCATCCAAACACGACGAACACTCCTACAGATAACCAGGAGTGTTTGAAAATTACCCAGGCTCTCTATTACGACCTGGGGATGCCTATTTATGCGGTACTGTATATTCCTCAATTTAAATTGATGCATAGATATTTTTTCATTGTTAATTACTTCAGATGTGGATACTTAAAAATTCCAAGAAAATTTTGAAACTTTTGGACGATTTGAAATCACATGATTTTAACAAAATCAACAGCTAAAAACTTTTCTAAAGACTTTTCTACTTTATATACAACAATTCCCAACGATAAATTAAAGTCCAGTCTTTTCGATATCATTGAAAGCTGCTTTTTCAATTAAAATGGAACTTACCTTATTATGGTCATTATTTTGGTAAAAAACACAATCGTACATTGTGATTGTACACACATGTACTCTGAAGTTGACATCAAGAGGATGTTTGAGTTTATGATTGAGAATATCTAATTGGTTTTGGGAAACCGGGTCTTCCAACAATCTATTGAAATTCCCATGGGTACAAATTGCGTCCCTTTATTAGCAGACCAATTTTCTATTCATATGAAGCAGAATTTGTGCAAAATTTTATGCGTGGAATGAAGAAAACACTTGCTTTGGCCTTTAACTCGACATTTAGATATATCGACGACGTTTTATCAATTAACAATTGTAATTTCCTTTCTTATGTCGATGCGATATATCCTGGTGAGCTTAAGATAAAAGATACCACAGAGTCTGACACACCTGTTTCATATTTGGATATTTTACTTGAAAAAGACGCTAATAGTAATCTAACAACCAAGATAAACGAGATGACTTTAACTTTTCTATCGTCAACTTCCCTTACTTATGCAGCAATATACCTTCATCACCTTCATACGGAGTGTATATATCTCAGTTGATTCGATACGCAAGAGCATGCTCTACGTATGAACAATTTCTAAAAGGAGGTAAATTATTGACAAACAAGTTGATGAAATAAGAATATCAGCAGTCTCTTTAAAAATCATCATTTCGTAAGTTACATGGTCGATACAAGGACCTTGGCGGCAAATACTATTTATCATTGAGTCAAATGCTGACTGACGGTTTTCAAGTTAGTCCATCATTTATACACTGAATTGACTACGGACCCGATCATGACAAGGAGCACACAGCGGGTGTGAGTGATCGGTAGGGTATGCTCACTCCTCCATGGTACCATTCCACCTCTGATGTTTTGGAGGTCCGTGTTTTTTCTGCTCTGATCTTGAATACTTCTCGTTATCTCCATATGTTTTATTCTGACAATATCATATAAAAACAAACTAACTGCAGAACTGTTGCTCTCTGTATTACAAAATTCGGACAGATAAAGCAGAGAGCTACAGATCCAAGCTTTTGAAAAAAGAAACTTTCGATTTTCGCCGCCGCTTTTTTTTTGTCTCTCACTCCTGTTCGTATTTCTTTCTGTGCTTATATATTTATAAGTTCCATGAAACAACAGCGTCTATGATGCCAAAAAGTCGTGACTTCAATTTATCATCGCAAATAGTTGTATAAAGTTCTTTGAAATACGTTTTAATGTAATTGATTTTTGTAAAAAATTTGTAATTCTAAATAAATGGCCTGAATACCATTATTTTTAATACTAAATGACGATGAAATAAAATAGCATCGTCGGATATCCACGGGTGATCTCATCTTTACTCATACATGTAAGTAAAGACAAAATCGCCCATGGGTTTCCGACGATGATAAAATTGGTGAAGAATGCGTTTTTTTAACACTCTTGTTTGTTTTTGTCTTTTTTAACAACAATTTTATTATAATATCAGATCGTGGCCACAATTATCATAACATTTTTCGAAAAAAGGCGATTCAAGACAGAGTTCTGTTTTGGTAGGCCAGGACTTCCATTGTGAGTATCAATTACATTTAAGAGGAACACTTTCTGTTTATTGATATAAATTATCAATTAATTATATCATGAGAAGAAGGATACCACTTTCTTCTTTTATAGACCAATTAATTTCTTAGATGGAACAACAAATTCGATAGCAAATGCTGCAGCCTTCGGATGTACTCTTGAACACATTATGTACTATGTTTTTATTAGTCATATAACATGGACAGATGAAAAATGGTTATTAGGTGAGTAATTCATGTACAGTGTATATATGCATGTATAAATAATTTTTAAATACAATCATTATATGATACTTTCCCTAAGCGCAAATTAATTATATAAATTATTTTATCTTAGATGATACATTATTGTATGTAATTCGTCTTGTAACGAGTTCACACAACACAAGGTATTCTAGTAATTTTTTACTCATAAAACAAGAATTAGATATAGGTTCTTACCCGAAATATTGTCAAAGTCGCGCTATTTTCTAAGCTGCCGTCACAAAAAACTGTGAAAGTTATTAAGTTATTCGGTTGTACCCGTTTCAAAAAAATTTAAAATTAAAATTGTTCTTACCCGAAATATTGTCAAAGTCGCGCTATTTTCTAAGCTGCCGTCACAAAAAACTGTGAAAGTTGTTAAGTTATTCGGTTGTACCCGTTTCAAAAAAAATTTAAAATTAAAATTGTCCTTCCTAGTAAATAATAAATTTAGATTTCCTTTTTTAAAAAACGACACTCCAGAATGGTTCCTCCTATTGTCTACAGTCGATAACATTTCATCTTACATGAGTAGCCAATATCTTAGTCGCCGAGTCGTACAATAGTGGTATGAGCGTTTGCTCTAGTGTCCCTGGGAAAGGATTTTGAAAGTTACCTTGTGGGTTCGAATCCCATACTACTCTATGGTTTTAATTAAGTGTTTTGAACATATTTTATTGTATAAACAAAAGGATTGGAAATCCTTTAATTAATTGGCGAGTATAGCTCTACAATTCCAGATTTCGACTTCTATGCATCAAATCAATGACGTCGTATTTCCGAAATGGTACTCCCTTATGCCACATTTTTTCCTGAACTGTCAAAGTCATTAACTCAACTTATATTTGAGCCAGTTTCAAAACTTTTTGAAAACATTAAATTTTTAGGGCGTAATCAAGCTAAAACTGTACCTTATTCTTTAGACCTTAACTCAGCACTCGGGGCCAATGAGTAGATTTTTTCGTGCCAGCACTAGTAGTACTGTGGTCGAATCCGAAGGACAGATCTTCACGTCCAACAGTTATATTCGAACCAGTGATACAAGAATCAACTCTTTTCTCTTCACTCTAGAGCAAGCTCTCTACCACTGATTCACGCCGGCGAAATTAGACGTTATTTTATGTAAAACACTAGAGTTGACTACCTTTTTCAATGTCTTTAGAAGGGAAATGTGAAAATTTTATCTCTTTTTTCAGCACTCCAGCTTCTCCTGACCTGCTTCCTCATGTCTTTAGTATTTTACCCTATATTTGCTTGTTTGAATTCACCCTCAAGAATTCTTGGTTCAACTATTGGATTTTTATACACCTTACTATTGTGAGTTTTAAAAACATTTAATGTTTTTTTATATAAATTTCTATGTAAGTCATTCTCAAAACTTGAAATTTAATCAATGAATATTTTTCCCACAGGACTCTGGTTGTATTTGCTCAAAATTACATGTGTATCCAGAGGGCATGGGTAAGATGTTTAAAAAGTTTTCATCAGTAAAAAAATAACTCGTTTGTATCCTTAAATTTATTTTTGAGGGATAATTTATTTTGAATCTATTTAATCAATTCAATTTTAGAGGGGGAGGGGGGTACTAAGGTTGTTCGAACAAATTCTAAGATAGTTCGGTATTTGGTTTTGATTGAAAGTATTATTTTAGCATTCAATATTGTAATTTATTAAATAGCTAATAAATAGTCTCTAATAAAATACTGCCAAAAATCTAGAGAATTTTAGCGTTCAATATCTTGACGTTTTATTGAACGCTAACTTTGTATTACGTATATGAGTTTGCCCGAAACATTCCGAATACGAGCGTTCAATATCGAACGCCCCGTTGTAAACAAAAAAAGTCGTCTGGTCAAATTCTCAGAGCTGAATTAAAGAAAAGAAGTGGCACCTAGGTAAGATGTGTTTATTTTTACCCCCAAAAATGAAATTATGTATTCAAATATAGTACTTATTAGACCCATTAAAGCCTAAATAAGCAAATCATATCGCTCGCGGTAGGGTCATCGGAATGATGCGATATTGAACGCTAACAGGACAGACTAGCTGCAATAATGTAGCCCTCTCCGATTTTTTTTTTTGGGAGAGGGCTACAACTCCTTAGGATCTCTATAATGGCGTAGATGCGGCAGTGGATCACTCCCGCACGGATTTCGGCTCAAATTACTAGTAAACGGCTATTTAATTATCATCTCTTACCTGGAATCCAAATATGTAATTATGCAAAACACAAATCGATCCAAAAATATTCACTACGATCCATATATCGGTTATTTTTCGTGTGTGTCAACAGCTTAACTTGAATTTATCCGCCATGTTTACCGACCTTGATGGATTGTATTTTGGGACAGCCAATGAGAATTTAGGTTCTATAGGAGCGGACCTACTAGGAATCCCCTTATTTTAAGCATACATATCGCTGTTTGCGCAAAAATAACACTTGAAATGGTTTTATTTATCGATGTTTTTGTAATATATTATAGCACAATCGTTTATAAACATCGACATTTGCTTTATTTGGTTGTTCCATATTTCAAGCGAAAGTCTCACTACGTCACGCGTGAACTGTCATGGCTGCTGAATATTGCAGCTGGGAAAGACACAGATTTATTTTACATGGTTTTCGAGTTTAACAGGCTATGTTGTTGACAGTGAATAAAAATTCCGTCTTATAAGAAGTAAGTTTAATGTAAAAATAATTTATTTTGCCTCCAATCACCCGTATCAAAAAAATATATTTGCACCATTACGGAGATGCGATGGAATTGTAGCCCTCTCCAGAAAATATCAGATAAAAAAAATAGGAGAGGGCTACATTATTGCAGCTAAGGACAGACGTTAATTTGAATACCGATAGGCCTACTGAAAAATCATTAATTGGGGGGATTTTTTTTGGAATAATTATGTGGAGATGTTTTAGCTATATAATAAAGAAGTTATTGAACTTATATTGGTGCATATTGGCACTCGTTGGCTGTTAAAATGCACTCGCAAGCTCGTGCATTTGAACAGCCAACTCGTGCCAATATGCACCAATATAAGTTCAATAACCCTATATTATCCTGGCTGCAGCTAGTTAGAATGATCTAACTGTGTCTCGGTACAAGCCCTCACCACAGTTAGAAAACGTCCCATATACTTGCAATGTAGCAAATCGGAGCGGATCCACTCCGAAACGATTTTGAAGAATGTAAAAGGATTTGCACTGAAAATAACTACCAAATTAATCAAAACAAACCTTTTTGAGATTGCTTATGCCATTTATATCAGAAAATAATCTAAAGAAGAAAATCCAATTAATTTTCTCAACGTTTTTCTCTCGCTTTTAATTTACCTGCCATGTTTACTTTAGGAACTCTCTAGATTGTTCGTAGTAAATGCACTGATTTAAAAGAGAATACGAGTTATCGCCCATGCTTTTTCTGCTACATTACGAATATACGGAACGAATTCTATCGTTAAACCGGGTCCGTAGGACAATATCATTTTAACGATAGAACGTTCTATCTAGGCTGCAGCATGCCAAAATATTTATGTTTTTTTTAATTTTATGTTCAAAATGGAAATTTCATGTTTCAATATTGAAAGCTAGCATCGCTCAACAGTTTCAAAAAAAAGCTCTCCAAATTTCATGTTTCAAATTATCAACGAAATGCTTTATGGTAATATTGACTTTATTGTAGAATATATACGAATAGAGCTTACTAATCTTGTTGTTCGTCATCTTTGATGAATCTGATTTTACCATTGTATAATATTTAATATATTAATAATTTCAGGGATGGGCAATTTATGTGGTCGTTTTAGTTTGCGAAACTTATCTGCTGATTATTTTCATTTACCGCTTAGTAACAGCCCTGTCAAAGAAATCGGTCAATGTAAGTATTTAAACTTTTAGAGCCTAATTTAAGCAAAGTTTGAAAAAATACAGTTAACCATTCCTGTGAAATATTTTCTTAGCGCAAAGAACCCCTCGTCAAAGTAGATCAACTGTTACATGTCCGAGATTTGGTGCAGAAACCCAAAAACAGTTCTGAGGAAGATGAAATAAAGTAATGTATATTTAAAAAAAATAATTTTATCAATTTAATCTCGATTTAAAAGATTTATATTTATTGTAAGGTAAGGATTAAATTTTGTCTCTTTAAAAAACTAGTATATTAAGAATCGAAAGGCATTTTCTCAAAAATTGTTTAAAGCACTTTTTCATGTATGTATAAAGTACTTAATTCATCTACTAGTATTTAAACTAAGAATTTTTAAAACTTAATATATCGCAAATACCATAGGAGGTCATCTTTTTACGGAATAAGTAGTACTCGGATTAATATAGGATAAATATAAAATCTGAAGATTTAACAAACAATACTGGTTATCAAGCTCAAAATGCTGCTGGAACAATGAAATAAGGAGCAGAGCAAACACGGACCTCCATAACCATTAGAGGTGGGATCGGGTGTTATGAAAGAGTAACAACCCCCTGTCGACCCTCACAATCACCGTGTATTCCTTGTCATAATCTGACCAATCTGTGGGCAATCAGTGTTCAAAGTAAAATTCAAATAATCTTTAAAAATATCAGTCAACACTGTCATGATTTCGTACTGTATTTGATAACAGGATCATTATATCGACCATAAATTTTGCTCGATGTCTTCAAAGGTAATTGTGGATAAATCTTATTCCATCCATATTTGGTCAACAATTGTTCTCGTACATATAAGATGTACATACATATCAAATCAACTGGGAGACAAAAACTTCAGTAGTAGTGATGAAATGTTGACAATAGAAAAATTGAAGTCGTTAGGTTTATTATTAAATTCTGCAGTTAGTTTCCAATTTATATTTTTGTTGTGTCGTCTTTCGAGTTCATAGAGATCAACGTTAGAATGAAAGTTGATACTTTTTTCTGAAATGGTTAAGAACAATACAAAATATGTGTTTCATACTGTTCTTTTAGAAAGAAGATAAGTAATTATGCACGCGGCATTATGGATGAGGCAAAGCTATGCTGTCTACACAAAAGTCTCTACAGATGTACCACCAGGACTGTAGCCATCAACACAATCGTCTTACTCGTCTTCTATTATGTAATCCCCTTCTCTGAGATATCTAACTACTTTAATATAACAATGATATTATTTACAATAAAACAAAATGTAAAACAACCATAAAAATCAACATTTGTAATCTTGCGTAATATGATTTGTGTATCACACTTTTAGGCATTCATATGGACCGTGATTGTATCCGAGGATTTGGGTCAGTTGTATGATGACCTTTCGAATTCCTCAATTAAATACATTCTCTGGGACTTGATAGAGATTCCAAAGACAGGTCGTCGCTATTTGCAAACTGGAACACAAGTTATAAGAGGCATGTAAACAAAAATGATCTTACCAAATTATATAGTATTTTTATTTTTCTCAGATTTGTTAAGTCAGCATTTTTTCATTTGCTCTCTCTCCCTCTCTCTATCTGTAGTAATTATTCAATCCTAGAAATGTAAAAAAAAATTTAACCGCACGTTTTTATATTTCAGTCTCCCTAATCATCGCCAATATTCTATCAGCTGTTTATCTAATTGCAAATATGATCCTCATATATCGGTCTCAGAGACAACATATCATTCAGATATGGAGAGGAGACAGATCTTTCATTCCCAAAAATTGTATTCAAACGCATGGTGATATGGTGGTTAGTAGATCTACTATTTTATTCGTTTTTATTTCACAAACTTACGAGGACTATAATGCTTATAAATGAGTGACTGATAGGTGTATGTCTATAACGCAAAACTTTACCTGATTGGTTCATTTCCACGACACCGAAATTTCTACATATCCTAATAAAAAGAATTAATATACATTTAAATAAGTCCATGCGATTAAAATTTATTTCTGTTTTAGATGAAAAGTTTGATGTTTGCAGGAAACCAAGTCTCGCATCTTCTTGGAGGTTTCAATTTGTCTCTAATTTTTTAATAATATAATGAAGATCAACACTTCACCAGTTTTATTATGAAAAAATAACAGGATATACTTCTTCAATCGACTGGTCCTGAAGTGTCTTAAATATACAATTAAACATACATTTCTCATCTAGGTTACCTAATTTCACTAATAGTTGTGTTCTCACTCTGTGTTGTCCTGGCGTATTGTGTTGTATTGCCTATCATAAAAGAGGTTCCTGAAAGCTTCCTTTCACCTTTGGAGGCTTTATTGTAAGTATAAGTTTATTATTCCCTTCAGTTTTAACATCTAGTTACATTTTTAAATTAGATTTCAGCATTTTAAACCTATTTCGGTCGTATTTTTGCCGACATATTTCATACTGATTATTAGGCCTCTGTTTTATACTGCATTTGACAACAGAAATTATCGTCTACATAAACAATTTCTAGGACTCAAGGCGGATGCGACCGGTCAATATAGGGATGCTTACTCCTTCTTGGCGTCTGATCCCACCACTGCAATTTGAGGAATCCGCATTTTATACCCTTGTCATTTATAGAAATATATTTTTGAGATCGAACAATATTATGATCACATGTTGAAATTCTTAATCATTCTACAATTTATTATCTTACCGTTTTCAGACCTGGAGTGGTATTCATGTTTATTTTCCGAGTAGTACTTAGAATTATCAGCCGTAAAGCTTTCTTACAAAACCATTACATCAGTTCCGACAACGGGGAACACTGGGAGAAAGTACTGGCTTTGGACAACAGGTGATTACATTATTAGATGGGTTTTCCCCATAGTTTTGTGCATTATTTTTTGTTCAAAATTCTTCAGAGATCGATTCTTTTTTAGTTAAAACACAAAATTGTATAATTTTTTTTCAGGCGAGTGTACCAGAACCTGTCCTATTTCCTGTTTTTCTACTATATACTGATTGGTTTATTCAGATGTGTGTACCGGGTAATAGTGTCCATGTGTTTAGGACTATTTTACGTAGCGCGTATGGATAGATCTGTGTTATTACCTGGATATGAACATCTTGATATCAGTAAGTAAACTGAAAATGTGAGCTAAAATAATGTTAAGAACATTAAATTGATACAAGTCTTATAAAACAAAGTTCATTTAATTGATTTTGACTTTTTTGTAACGATAAGTAAAAAAAAAAAAGAAACGTAGAATTAATGATTTTTTTTAACTTAGAAGTTATAGTTAGGGTGGGAAAATCAAATAAATCAATTTTTTTAAAGGTTACATGACTTACCTTGGCTTCTTGGAGGTAGAACTTCACCATTGCCACCCAGTGGTTGTTGTCTTTTGTGACCAGATGATCAAGGCTGTAAAACTGAACTATTCTGCAACTAGTAATAAACACAATTCAATGCAAAATGCTTGTGAAAGCAGCGAGTATGTCTTTTCTCGAGGCTACGCAACAAAAGCAAGGAATAGGTGGCAAAAGATGAAAACTTTGATTTGCAATCAGGCACTTTGTAAAGATTCTAAAACAAATTGTTCTTTTGAACATCCTCTTTATGCCAAGAAAACAGTGGTGGGGTGCTCAATAGTTGCACCCAAAGACAAAATGTAAATGAGACGAATATTAATTTTTTTGTGATTTATAGTTTTGATATATATTTTGTTAGAAATAAAAGGTTGGTATTTCCATTGTCCATTCCATTGTCCATTCATCTAAAGGAAACTGATATAAACATCTTTATGGACCTTTATTATAATTAAGGTTTTTGTACCAAATATTTTTTTTTATTTCATATAAGCTTTCACTGTAAATATTGATAAAGGAAAAAAAATCATTGTTATATTTTTTTTTATTTCATATGCATATTGAAAAAAATATATGTATAATTTAGACAAGGTCTTCAAATAAATTGCTATTTTCGATCCCTTTTTTCAGTTGTAAAAGTTTTCTTTCGTTATATTTTGTTCATCACATAGCGTAACATTCCATATAATTCTTAATATTTATGACGTTATGACTCCAGTTGAACAATACGTATTCTACATGTATAATTTTAGTCTATTTCAAAATAAGTCATTTAAGGTCCTTCGGCCCGTTTTACAAAAGGTCTTACGACTTAAGACCAAATTTAATTTTTCATATAACTTTTTAATTAAGATTATATCAAAAATTATTTGTTTTACAGAGAAAGTAAATAACGTTGTCATTCAGGACTATTGTAAGTAATAACGTGTCATTCAGGACTATTGTAAGGTTGTAGGTTGGAGAAGAGGATGAACATATAGGAGAATTATGCCTTAAATGTATCTTAATACGATTTTTCTGCAGTTTTAAGTGAGAGAATGCAATCAGCATTTTAATCTTATTCATGTTATGCACTGGAAGAACCCAATTTATATAATGATCAAATAATATTGAAGTTGATAATAACAAGAACAACGCTCTTGATACAAATTGACGAATTTTATTGGACAAGTATTCTTGCTACAGAGGCGTTGGTTAGGAGCTTTCAGATAAACACCAAAAAGTAATAAAATTTAAAAATAAATATACAGGAATGTTTACAGTGTTTGTTTTTTAAATTCAAAATATATACCAATAAAGACTGAATATTTACGATTCACGATAGCTTTAATCTTGGTTGTTCGAAATTTGTGTTTGTCTTTGACGTTTTACACAATGATGTATTCTTACTAAGTGTTATCATTTTCATCCATTTATTGTAGATCTGATTATTATAGGCTCTGGCACTGACGCTCCTGACTGAACTATAGTTCTTTCTGGCTGATTCTGTTTTACTTGAATTCGTTGAATGTAGACTTAAATCAGTTTTCTCAACACGCTCCTTGAGAGCCTTTAACAATTCTTCACAGAAAACACGGAGGGCAGGGTGGCAATGGACCAATTCCACGTGTAAGAGACCTATATATATCATGTATCCTAGAAATGAATAAAGTTATAGCACTTAATTGTTCACTTAATTATTCAGTATAAATAAACATTTAAAAGTTTTATGTAACTTGTCACGTATCTCAAGAAATCCGTTATGTGAATTTTAAAAAAAATCGCTAATATAAGAATTATGAAAAAAAAAACTTTTGATATTAACATTACTAAGTATTTGATATATGATAAAAGCAAACCATTATCGTAATGTTCAAATCCAGACACTAGAACACTTCTGTCAAGTCTCGGGACAAATACCAGACCAATCACGAGAGAGTACATTACCCGACGGAGACATTTAAAAAGTCCAATAAGTATGTAGAAGAAAAATAAAAAGAAGGAAAAATTGTGGTAAATTTTCCTGAAAATGAAAAAAAATTAATATATATGTATCATATTAGTAGTATGAAGGAAAAATACTTTGTCTTTAAAATCAATTCTGTTGATCAATATTTGGTTTCAATTCTTTGATAGCAAATTTTGGTCATAAATAATTTTATTTAATGTTTTTGAAATCTTAAATCGAAATCTTTTGTCAAAAACAGAAAAAGGGAAAATTCTCAATTTCAAATTAATCATAACGTTTTTTTTAAATTGTCATCGAACGAGTGCAAATATAAAACAATAATAATTTTAAGCATTTATGTTATTAGCTCATTCGATCCTCTTTTTATTCAAAATAAATATGCAAACTTATTATATAAAGTTGTCACATTTCAGATTTTAACTTTTTCAAATGCCTTCAAATGAAAAATCATTTATTTTAAACAAAACTTACCTATTATCTAAAGCTAATGTCCTTTCAACCCCTACACCATTCTTTGATGATATCCAGTAATTTTGTAAAAATATCTTCTCTGACAGCTTTTTCAAAGCATAAACAAAGATGAAAGTAACTATCACAGAGGGTCTAAAATAAAATAAAACATTATAAAGACCAAGACTATGTCTGGCATTATTATACTACATCACAGTCAACGAAATAATAAAACCCTTTACTGTTATAAAACTTAACAACACGTCTCAAATAAATATGCAACTTAACTTATGTTTGTAGTAATTTATATAGTTTGATTTATACTTATACATAGCTGCAGGTCATAAACACGTCTGAATTCGAAGCAATATGTAAATATACATATACATGTGTATAGTAACACAATATTTACATAAAACATGCATCTCTTTTCTTACATTAAGAATTTTACTGGTCTAAGAAATGCCTCCGGGACTTTTCCAATGAGAGGAAGAACGACCAAAAACGCAATGATCATACATATAAGGAAAATCACCACGACAGAAATAAGGTATCCTTAAAAGAGAAAATATATTAAAAACAAAGTTAGACAAATTTAAGTCCAGAAAATGTGGCAAGTATTTATTAAATGTCTCTTAATAACTGCCTAAAAATTCTTTCCTGACAAATTAAGTGTAACATCAATTTGTAGTTGTTTTTAGAAGGTGCTTATGGAAAAATGACGTTATATCTTTAAAAGTTTTTTAAAATAATTTGTTAATGATAAATTGAATGAAAACTAATCAAAAAAAATAGTTATCAATATTTTAGAACCTTGTTTAAAGTTATTCTTAATTGTTGCTATGTTTCAATTTTATTTTCATTTCTCATCCAGTCCCAAATGATTTTGATTATTTGATGGACACATTATAATAGTGGTAAAAATGATGAGAGAAATTGAAAATAAAATTATAAAACTTGTAAAATTTGTTTTAAATATTGTGCAGATGCGAATGACACAATGATATTATTTTTGAGTTTGCATTATTGTGTTGTCCATCACCATTTGTTGCGTTCTCGCAAAATTGTCAGGATGAGTGTAGTGCAGAGAAGTCTCCAGAAATCATCGACATTATCACGTGATAAAGATCCAAAGTATCAAAACACTGTTCATTTTTATATTTAAATATCAATCTCGTAAATATCATCATTCTGATGACAGTGAATGTGTATCATTTACGAGGGCTGTTCAATAAATTATGTCCTGAGCTCTATGACATACAATATAGAAATCATATGACATTAATCTTGACTTTCTCTCATGAATGAATCTTTAATGAATTGATTATAAATTATCTGACCACTTTGCATCACATAGTTTCATTGTGAGAAGCTGGAAAACAAGAGCTATTCGAGACACTGCATTAAAAAGAATGGGAAAGAATCAGTAAACAAAAGCGAAATTAAACGCTTCATGAAAGCTACTGTAAAACTCGTTAAGAAAAGGAGGTCGAGAAATGTTGTTTGAGAGATGAAAGCCGAGGCTTTTATATTTCAAACAACATTTCGAGACCGAGGAGGTTATTCTGCATCATTCACGACAACGAGGACTTTATTTCTATTCTACTATATGTAACAAATTGGATAAAAATGTTACGGACATGTATTTCCATTAAAAGAAAATATTTCAGTAAAATCATTCAGGCTTAATCCTTGAAAAGTTTTTTGTTGCTTTCCGAGCATCAAGGACATTATTTATTGAACAGCCCTCGTATCCGTGTTTTATGGTGTCTCTAATTTAAAATATATTTGATGAACAAAAGGAAATCTTTTCAAGTTTCGCGAATTCCGAATTGCTGAGGCGCTGACAAATATTATGACTGTTAAATGTTTCTAATCAACAAAAGATGGACACTTTTGGTTAAATAAGCACATTCGAGCCTTTGACTCAGCTTGAAGCTTGAATTATCTTCAGAATTTACCTCCAAGAAGGTGGGAAACTTGAGTTCCGGCATACATCAATGATTTTGTCTAAAATTGTAAAATATAAAAGCATGTCAAAATAACAACTCTTGCATATATAAAATTTGCTTGTACGAATTTGCTTTGTTAAAAAAACTACACGAATATTTATTACGGTCATGTATACTATACTTGTGCAGCATTCTTAAATAACTAACGAAAATGCATAATATGAATTACACAATTGATCTTTTGATCTTAAGACTACGTGTACATGGTTTAAGAAATGAATTTTTCTGCTAGCACTACAGCCTGCAAGACCGCTCGGCCATCTTGTTAACTCGAAGATATTCTGAACATAATTTTCAGGCAAAGAATATTGCTAGTTATTAAACGGAAGTCATTACCACCATGTCCCGACTGTCCATTTTTAGGCATTTCTTTGGTATGAAGGATCTGTCTCCCCTCCAAACACTGAGGAGATGTTGTCGCTGTGAGAAATACATCATTACCATTGTCGATATCACGTACAAAGCAGACAGGACCTGTGCTACTACAAAGCTCCCTAAAATCAAACAGGTAAGAGAATTACTTTGCTAAAATCATATATAAGTTGGCTACACTGTAAGAATTGTAATTTTGCTGCTTTTGATTTTAAAAACAATTGAAACATTTGAAATAGAAACATTTACTATTGTTCATTTTCTCTAAACATTTATATCTTTTTTACTGATAAATATTACAATTTTGATGCTTTTCTTCCAATTATGACTTTAATGAAGTGTAATAGTATACGATCTCGTTTTTAAAAAAACTTTTTGATACATTTATTAGGTATATATACTTACAGCCTACGGTATCAAGATAAGTTTCTAAAGTATCAGCTGAAATGTTCCATGCCTTTAGTTGTAAAATAAACCCTCTGTTGAGCTTTCTGACCATATTTGAAAGATCCACAAACACTATAAAAAGCTGAGAAAGTTTTGTTGATTAAAATACACGATTGAAAGAGAAAGAAAATACTAGTATAGCATATAGGAAATGGAATCTGCCATGTTTTTATTTGCAAAAGATGATTTCATGAGCAAAAGACTAACATCGGTCAGTTTTAGTAT